AATAGCTCCTGCCAAGGCTCAGCTCCTGTTTCCAGCTACCACCATACACGAGAAGAAACCTTTTAAGGTATTAAGGGGGGGGGAAAAAAAGTCAGACAATATTAATTTGAAAAATATAAAATTTTAATAAAGGCTACATCTCTTAATTACAATAATTATTGTACCAAGTAATTTTTTTTTTTAAATGAAACTCTTTATAATGCATAATTTACAGTATAAGTAGAACAAAATGCCATGGCAAAAGTCATGAGTACAGGACTTGTAATAAAAGGCATAAAATATATTTATACATAAACCCCTTAAACAAACAAGGGAAAGCTTGAACCCTGAATATAGGGCGACGCATGGTCTCGTAACACCATGCAGGCACAGGTACTGTACTGATTAAATTTTAAAAACACTAGAGATAGTGTATTAATATCTTCACCATACATTTTCTACAATATATACAGACTTACACAAAGTAGCAATGGCAAACAGAATGCACAGATTAACTTAATCAACACAAAACCCAACTGTAGAAATGCAAGGTCTTTCTCGGGAAAGGGTCGCTCTGTCCCAACACCCACGCCACGCTCTGCCCAGGGCTGCAGGGAGCCTTGCCCGTATCACCCACGGGCTCGCGTGGGTGTTGTGAAGGTAAGGCCAAAAAAAAAAAAACCACCCCAAAACAACCCACAACCCAACCGAAAACCACCACGCGAGGAATCACGCGCTCCGCACCGATCTGAAAATACACCCTCGTGGAAACAGAAGCTGTGCTAACATTGAAGTAGGAACAAAATTAGCTATCTACGTGGAACACACACGGGGTTTTTAACCTGGCTTTTGCAACGTGTCCTTTTGGTGTGCTCAGTACGGAAACGGGAACTGGATGGCTTCTTCTACAGCTCTCCCAGGCTCAGGGTTTTGCTCTACTTTGCCTTAACCAAGAGGCCCTGGGCAGCACCTGGTACCCTCAGCGCTGACAGCAGCAAAGCAAAAACCTCACACCGCAGAAATCCATGGACAAAATCTCAAGTTGCTGTTGTTATATTGCATCTAACGTATTTAACGCTTAAGACCTTTATTTCAAATTAGAGCAGCATAGATTAAAATGCACCGGTCTCTAGATGAATGGTACAAAAGTATTTTTATTTCGGCTTTTATTATTATTATTTCTTTCGAAAAGTTTTATCTTCGCTTGGAGAAAATACTGGGCACAATGTTGCTCCTTCCCTCCTCCCCCTTCAAAAAATAAAAAAAAATCATGAACGTGCTTATAGCCAAACTCCTAAATTTTAGACAGTGGGAACAATATAAAAAAATAAAATAATCCTTCCTCCCATCACCCCACTTCCCAGCCCCTCTCTTCTCCATTGTTAAAGCAGCATATCCAAAAACTGGACTTAAGGGAAAACAGACTGTTCAATAAATATCAATAAGGATTACTGTTAAGGTAAGCTATACACAGTTTCTCTTAGTCCATAGATTTCAGATCCCCAGGAAATCATATATTATGTATGGAAGTCTCTCAAACACGGTCTGCATCTCCAATAGCCAACAGTGGTCATGTTTTTAATAAATAGTTCAGGGTTTTTATCATCTCAGTACCTAACTCATGAATAATAACTGCCTTTTTTTTTTTTTCCTCTAAGGCTAATTCAGCAAAGTCTTCATAGACTTCGCTTTTTTTCTTCATTGGTTCAAAACTTTCCTTCAGAGTTTGGTGTGTGGTTTTTTTTTTTTTTTTTCTCCTGGTCATCACTACTGTTGTGTGTCCAAAGACTTTTCTAGCTTAACTTTTCTTAAGAAACGCAGACACCATCAATCGATCCGTTCTACTTTCCCAAGGATCCGTCCTTCGTACATCGGCAGGATGGTTTCGTCTTCCCAAATCTCTTCAAACACCGCACCGCAGTCAAACTCGTCGCTTGCTTTTTTGAAGTAGTATCTGTGGTCAGGAGAATTAAAACACAGTTAAAAAAAATCAAAAGGGAAAGCGAAGGATGCTTTGGCAGTTCTTTTAACCACAACATTTCCAATCTCTCCCTCCTAGGATGCTCCTCCAGCTCCCGGCGTGGCCAGGAAAACCTCAGGACTGCTCAGGTCCAGCAACATGAAAGCATCCCAGGAGCTGCAGGGACAGGGATGGGACAGAGGGAGCAGGGCTGTGCCGCTCCTCAGTGGTGACAATGGCTTCTACAGTGAGTAAATTACACACGTTGGCAGTGGATATCCTCAGCCGTAAAGAAAATTAGAAAGCACAGTGATTTCTGGTCAAATATCTTATTTAAAAAATAAATAAATAGAATTTCAAAGCAAAGTGTAAGGTTCCCCTCTTCCCCACCTTCTTTCTTTCATGTGTTTTCTTGTTTCAAGGCTGAAGCCCAACATTAAAATTAGCAACTGTTATTAAAGGAGAGGCTTTTTGGGCATACGGATGGATGAAAAGAAAACCATCCCAGCTCCCTGCAACGCAAAAGCTGAAACTCTGCGGTACTCCCACTGAAAAAAACACCCCGGAAAAAAAAAAAAAACAACCCTGGGAGCCTCACATTGGAAATAACCAAATGCCTAATTCACGTCTCCGTTTTAAGCGGCAGAAACTCCGGGAGCCGCGTCCCGCCGGCTCCCAGTGCGGCCCAGTCTGCGCGCTGGGACGCGGGGAGGTCACGCCGCGGTGTCCCGTGCTCCTGCTCTTTTGCTCCGGGTCGTTAGATCATGAAGCCAGCGCTCCCCCAGACAAAAAAGCACCCCCACCTCTCCCGTGTCAAACAGTAAGGACCCCTCTATTATCCTGAATTAGACCGTTCAGCTTCTTGATTAAAGGTTCCTTTTATCCCGTTTGGAGCTTTCTTCCTTCTAGGGCTGCTTAATTGCATATGCACAAATGAAGGGCTTCCATTCAGAGGGGTAGCATTTAGGGAGCCTGTCCGTCTGCCGCCGCACACCTCCTCCTCGGACATGCCTGCTCCCTTGGAAAAGCGCTTTGCCATCCGATCGCCAGGGCTGGAAAACCCTTCCTCAGATGGGTTACAAAGGAAAATAGAAAATAATTACCCCCCGCTCACACCGCTCCCCTGTAGTCTGCAGACAACTGGGGTTGGTGGATATTTGTCAGGGGAAAGGGTTTTGCCATTGTTGTGCTTTTAGGATGGGAAAGGAGATGAAATTCAGCTCCCTTTTACTATTAAAGCTGAAAGAGCCACGGCAGGGTCTTAGAATTTTTTTTTTTTTTTTTTAGTGACTGTTCTATTACACATTTTTAAAATACTCAGTAACGACAGCCTGAAAAATCTATTTATTTTCAGGGCACACGAAAACTATTTTGGTAGGGGGCTAAAAGCTAGCTTCTTAGTCAAAGAGATGAAACCAGCTCCATTTAGTCAAGGTATGGTCAGGATTTATTTTTGTAAAGTCATTCCAAGCTGAATTGACACATGTTGCCTCTTTAATGGCTCAGCAAGGAAAAACATCTTATTTAAGCCCTTCAGAGCCTGAGCTTATTGAAGTCAGTGGCCCAGCTCCCACCAGCTCTCATGCTGCAGGTCAAGGCCACAATTCCCCAGGCCAGCAGCCTTGAAACAAACCCAAAAAAACCCAAGGAAAGTTTGAATGAATTACAAAGAACTTTCTCTTCCCTTT